GAGAGAGAGAGCATGAGCAGGGGGAGAGGGGAAAGGAGAAGCAGACTCCCCGCTGAGGAGGGAGCCCAACATGGGGCTCGCTCCCAGGACCCTGGGATCATGACCTGAGCCGAAGGCTGATGCTTAACTGACTGAGCCACTGAGATGCCCCCAAATAATTCAATTTCTAATGATATAAAAGCCATAAAGTATTTAGGGTTAAATTTAACAAAACACATATATGACCTTTAAACTGGAAACTAAATAGATTGCTCAGAAAACTAAAGAAAACTTAAATAAGTTGAGAAATATACCATGTTCATATACTGAAGACTCAATATTGTTTAGACATCAACCCTTCCCAGATGGATGCATATATTTAATACAGCCCCAATCAAAACCCCAACAAGAATTAAAACAGGAACTGAAATTAGGGACTCAGGTGCTTGTAACCAATGTTCATAGCGGCACTATTCACAATAGTCAAAAGGTGCAAACACCCCCCAAGTGTTGAACAAGAGATGAATGGATGATGCTATAATATGGATGAACCTGGGACAGGGTGAACCTGATACACGCTATAACGTGGATTAGCCTTGAAACATTATGCTAATTGAAAAAAAAAACCCAAACACTATAAGGTAAATGTACAGTTCCACTTTTATGTGTTGTCTAGATTGGGCAAGTGCACAGAGACAGGAAGTAAAATGGAAGTTACCAGGCGCTGCGGAGGAGGGTAATGAGGAGTAACTGCTCAGTGTGCTCAAGGTTTCTTTTGGGGTGAGGAAATGTTCTGAAATCAGATGGTGGTGGTGTTTGCACGATATTCTGAATACACTAAAAAATTTCCCGTGCACTTTAAAATAGTTAAAACGGGAACTCTTGTGTCTATTTCACTATGATTTGAATTTCAATTAAAAATATGATGAAAGTGATAACATTAGATGGTCTCCAGGTGCCTTCTAGCTTCATGATTTGGCTCCTGACCCTCTTGGATTACTCCACGGCAGATGCACACAGCTGTCACACACCCAGTCCACAGCCTGGCACACGCTTTCCCCTCGACTAGCTCATCAGTTCTTCTCAGCGTTGCCCCTCGCTGTACTTTCATTGTATCTTCTATGAACCAAACCACTCTGATGTCCTTCATCCCATAGGGGCTCTCCCTTCTGAACTCCCAGATCAAATTTACCGATTTTGAGGCAATGACACTATCCTGTATTAAAATTTCGTGTAGAAAAGCGTCTTGGTTTTTTCTTTTTTCCCAAATGTAATAGATCCTGATTTTATGCATCTGTACAGCTCTTGATGGGATGATTTTGTTTTGTTTTTAGTTTTATTTATTTGAGAGACAGAGAGGCGTGAGCAGGGGCGGAGGGCAGAGGGAGAAGCCAGCCTCGCCGAGCGAGGAGCCCGATGCGGGGCTCGATCCCCGGACCCCGGGACCAGACCCGAGCCGAAGGCAGCCGCTTCACCGCCTGAGCCGCCCTGGCTCCTGCGGCTGACTGCGCGTGAGCATCGAGGCTGGGCAAGCCCGTCTCTGCAGTGAGGTCGGGGGACAGCCCGGCCCGGGATGCCCCGTCGGAAGCGCCGCGTTCCCGCGACCCTCCTCAGGGCGGAGCGCGAGCCCGGGGGTCTGTATTTTACGCAGTCGTCCAGGGACGCCATTCACCACTACGCAGGCCTGGGCTGTCCTGCGGAGACCGCACTAACGCGCGACGACCGCGGCGCTCCGCCGCCGACCGCCCGCACCCACCGCGGGAGGGGCTCCGCGCAGCGCGCCGCGGGCCCCGGCTCTCGGGCGCAGGCGCAGAGCCGCGG